AACATGATCGATTATAATCAATTCCTTGAAAGCAGGCTATCATATTTTCCCAGAGGAATAAAGGTAGATTTGGGGATTGTGATGATGATCAAGAGTCAATATCTGATAAATCAGACCTGTTCTTTAACAGCAAGGATAAAATAATTTATAAGAATATAATAGGTGTGAATTTGTATTTAAAATATGGTGGCTAACAGGCCTCTAATTTAAAATGATAGTCACAAACCTCTAAGATAATTTAATGCTTAAGGACCTGTGTGTCACATTCACACACACACACACACACTCTCTCTCTCTCTCTCTCTCTCTGATCTTGTTATACAGGATTTACATAGTCCTTCTTTTCAGGGTTGTTTAAGCTGATGTCCTATTTTTGACTCAGACCTATAGTAAGCAGAAGCAAAATTGTGCAGAGTTTCATTGATTATTACTTCCAAAGTAGCAACCGTGGAATTTATTTTAAAAGTCACAATGGAGTTTATTCAAGTTTTGAAGCTGTTCTTCCTTTTGTTTTCTTTCCTTTGCTCTCTACAATACTAGAGCCAACCTTGAAGGGGCAAAGAAGTATTTTTTTAAAAATTACCCTCCCAGAAATCATCAGGAAATAAGAGCCCAGGCAGTTTGACTGCTTTGCTTTGGTCATTTTGGAAGTGGGGTTGCAGAGGACATGCTCAAGATCTGTGGGTGCGGGTGTGGGTATAAGCCCCAGAAGTTTTAATATATTGGCAAATAAAACGAACTGCCTTTCTCCCCTCAACCAGGTGCTCCAGGTCTCTGCACAGGTGAGGCCCTGTTACAATGATTGAGAAGTTCATTGAAAATTACACTACCCATAATCATAAAGTGACAAACATCATTAATGACTGGTAATGTATGTGTGTTTTCTCCAGGCCAGCGGAGAGAGGGTGAATTTAACAATTGCTAGACAAGGGAAACCCCAGCCTGGTAACACTCTCCGAGAAGCAGGAACTCACAGCAGCAGCCAGCACCATGCACAGACACTGTATCACAGCAGACCAAGCTCACATAAGGTGAGGATTTTTTTTTTTATGCCACCCTCAAAAGATCATTATTGCAAGCTAATAAGACTTAAATGAAGGCTTCTTGTACATATGTCAGTCATACCTCAGTAATGCAATTTTTAAACAAGATTTAAATCAAGACTGTTATTTTGTTGGAAAAGGTGAACATAGGTATTTGAGGTGTAGAATGTGTGTTTTGCTACCTGGGAGAAGTACTGCATTGTCTCAGTTCTTCAGCCACTGGAGACAGTTTCTTGGTGGGGAAGGTTCCTCTGCCACATGATTGACAAGAAGTATGTGATCTTCCAGAAAGGTCTTGATTTGTTTAGTCCTACTTGAAAGTGGGATTTATCTTGAGTTGCTCATTTAAATATAAGAGTTGGTTATATGATTGAAAAAGCATAATGAAGACGTGATTGACAAGTCTATACTTAACATTTTTGCACATTGCCTGTAATAACAGAATTAGATATGTAAATATTAAACATGAATCGTGAATTTTGATAGGTAGATGTATAGCATATTTCTTTTTATGTTACAGCTTAAGGAACATTACCCTAAATCATTTAAAATTCTCATACGTTGAGCTTTGTTATGCTTCCTCGTAATCAGTATTTCACTGGTTTTATAATATATTCCAAGGTCAGTTATCTGCGCTGAGAATTTTGATACTGTCTCACTTTCATTCCAGAAATCAAAAAAGAATGGTATTTTACCATTCTTGGTATTATTTGCTTCATTTGATCCTTTATGTGAACTCAACTTCCAGTAGGCCAGGAATTTTTAAATGATGATGTGGTGCATACCCAAATATATAAAAATATAATCTAAATATGAGCTTCCAAAATCATTCTTCTTAAGTAAAACTAAATTGCTTTACTAACAAAAACTTATTTATTGGTCTGCTTAAAAACCACAGGAAGTTCCCTATATGCTAAAGTAGCTTTTTAATGTAAGTACATTTTGAGAGAATAATTACCTTTGGAATCTGTCTCTCATACCCTAAGAAAGCATAGCTCAAAGACAAATTTTTGGCCCATCAGGTTTATCTGGTTTTCTGAGCTAAGTACAGACTTGTCACTGGTCTTTGGTTTATGTAATACTTAAAAGAAATTATAACCACAGACTTTGTTCTCATTTCTGAACAAAACCCAAAATGTATGAAGGAAACCTATAATTTTGCCTTTATAATGCTGACTATGAAAAAGCAGTTATTGTTCTGAACAAGAATTTTAAATAAGAGTTGTTTCAGATAGCTAGTCCTTCCTTTACAAGTTATATATACCTAAAGAATTGTAATATAAGGCAAAAGTTAGTAATTGAATCTTTTATGTTATCGAATTTTACAAAATTTGAGATGTGGGTGTCTATGACAACATCATAGTTTTAAAACAGTTTGAAAAACTGAATTTAATTATTTCAACATTCATATAGAGAACTCTGCTTATTTTATTTGTTTGTGGCACATGTTATTTTTCTGTTACAATGGCTGATTGTTATTCTCTTTAATTTTATGTGACAGTGTTTTAAATAACAATGCTGAGTTCATTCTTACTCCAGGTACTCTGCAAACCTGGCTGGGTAGAACACGTGCATGGAATGTAATGTGTTCATTTAGCTGTTTACTACTAACACACTGCATTTGTTATGTCACATTCTGATTTAGAAGAATGAAGGTTTCCTAAGGAAAAAAACACACAAATTCACCAAAACAACGTGTTCAGACTATCAGCATCATTGTTAAAAACTAGTGTTCTTTAATCTACTACCAGTCTCTTGGTAACTGCTTGGATAAGCATTCACATGGTGTTGAACTCTCAGAAAGTTCCTTGAAGCATATTTAGTAAAATCTTTGAAGTTTGGTTTGGTTCCTGAGGAAAAATTGCATACATTTCAGCCATCTAGAATAATAAAACAGCCACTTCTAATTGATTAAATATGTAAAGGCTGAAATTGCTTAAATACACTCAAGGATGAGTTTACCTGAGTTGCCTTTATAATAAAGTCATTTCTGCCCAGTTTTGAAGGATACAAACATAAATTTTATACCTTTAAATAGGAAATTGCCTTAAAATGTGTACAAGTTTTTCGGGGTCATAACATTTTCTAGGAATGCTATGCTGCTATTACAAATAGTTCCTTTGACAAAATTTCAAGAGTACATGGGTTCCAGATCCAGAGAAGGACAGATGGGCCTGGAATTCCAGCGCCCAATTTAGGGATCTGATAAACAGCATTATTAATAGTTAAGTAAATATCAACTCTTTAAAATAATGTTATTAAAGGAAATTTTATAATTCTGTAAATATAATTCGTATATTTCTATTTTTGATATTGTTAATAATGTTAGTAATTATCTTGTTATTTATAATATTCTCTTAACAGTTGGTAAGTGTTAAAACCTTTTGAGACATTAGCTTCCACTGTTACACTTAATGGGATAGTACCTGTGTGGGCATATATGCACATTATGTACACAGAGTACATCATACTATATGCATATATACAAAATATGTATTTATATTAATATATAGTACACATGATTTTAACTGCATAAGTTTAAATACCAGTGCGGTCACCTATACTTGTAAGATTTGGGGCAAGTTACATGACCTCTCTAAGCTTGTTTCCTCATCTGTAAAATGGCACCAATAATAGTATATACTTTTGGATTGTTGTGAGGGTTAAATGAAATAATGCATGTAAATCCATTAGCTTTGCACATGCTAAGCCCTAATAAATGTTAGCTATTATTATTATTTTAGTATTAATATTGCATATGTATACCTTCTTTTTTATTGAATTCTAATTTAAAAGTGATGTTTTAATTCTTTTTCTTATTTCCAGTAGTGTCTCAGTAATAAGTAGCAGTAGCAAACAATAGTAAAAATAGGTTTTCCCAGAGAATATTAGTTTGTTGGCAATTTATTTCCCTGTCATTAACTTTTTCAAAAATTCAGTTTTTTCATACGTTTTTAGCTTTTCATGAAGGTTTTGAAGGTAGATTTGCACCTGCTTCATGATTGAGCACTCATAGTCAATGTCAGTAAGAATCAGAAGATAGATGTGTCGTTTTTTTCTGGCAGTTAGCAAAACCACAGTTTACTTTTACACTGCTCTGTCAGCTTTTGTTTTATTTCAAAGAGTTGCGGAGGGGAAGATGGAAGTAAAATTAATTGGCTTCAGAATCTTAAAACTCAAAAGCATTATGTACTTTTATAGAATTGATCATAATTTAGAGCTCAAGATAGTTATACAAATGATGTGATTATTTTACTTTGACTTTCATGTCAACACTCCTGAGTTTTTTTGGTTCTATAAATAGTCATATGAAAATACAGTAGTCCAAAATTTGATATTGATCCACAGTGTACCTATTAAGAACTGTGTGTTACTTTCAGTTCTAAATAAGAGATCAAAACAATACCACTTTATAAATGCCATGTAAGTTACTACCTTAGTTTAATCTGTCTTTAGTTATATATTATTCATTATCCAATAATTTTTTCCTTTCATGTTTTAGGATCTTACTCAGTGTGTTACATGCCAAGAAAAACACATTACTGTAAAGAAGGAACCACACGAGTCCCTTGGAATGACAGTTGCTGGGGGCAGAGGAAGTAAGAGTGGTGAACTGCCCATCTTTGTAACCAGCGTGCCACCTCATGGCTGCCTTGCACGAGATGGCAGAATCAAGAGAGGTGAGATAGGATCTTGAACAGTTTCACCACATCTTCAATCTGAATTAAACTCACATTTTTAAGAAAAGAGTATCTACAGAGTTTTCTATTAAACATGACTGTTTAATCTTTTAAAGTGTCTCTTGCATATGAAAGCATGAAGTCTTCCTACAAGGGTAGAAAAATGCCTGTGTAAAGGAAAATTGCTGAACCTTTACAGTGGCTCCAGAAATTTGGTAACAGTTACTCAGACTGTTGGATTATTTTATCTTAGAAAAGATCCTCTAAGAGACTTATTATGCTTCTGCTATTATGGCAGACAGAGACACTCTGAAGGGCCATCTGACTAAAATACAAATGTTTCTTATAATAAAGTGTCTTTGTAGAGGGGAGCTTAGAGAGGAGGTGGGGCAGAGGACAAAATTAATTTTAGGGACAAACTGATTTACCATTTCACATTCCCTATCAATGCTGTATAATTTGTATAGGTGGGAGAGGGGTGCAACTCATTTACCATTTCACATTCCCTATCAATGCTGTATAATTTGTATAGGTGGGAGAGGGGTGCAATTAGCCACTATAACCATGGTAAAAATAGCAGTTTCCATTGACTTAGTTTGTTCATATGGAAAGAAAACTTAGTCTTCAAAGTAATTTTTCCAAGAATGAAATTAGACTCCTACCTCACAGTATATACAAAAATTAACTCATAATGGATCCAAGACCTAACTTTAAGAGCTAAAACTTTTAGAAATTAGTCTTCAAAGTAATTTTTCCAAGAATGAAATTAGACTCCTACCTCACAGCATATACAAAAATTAACTCATAATGGATCCAAGACCTAACTTTAAGAGCTAAAACTTTTAGAATATCACACAGATGTAAATCCTCATGACCTTGGATTAGGCAGTGATTTCTTAGATATAAAAAAGTACAGCAACAAAAGAAAAAAAAGATAAATTGGACCTTGGCAAAATTACAAACTTTAGAGCTACAAAGGAAACCACAAAGAAAGTGAAAAGATAAGTCACAGAATTGGAGAAAATATTTGCAAGTCATATATTATGAATGACTTGTATCTAGACTATGTAAAGAATTCTTACAACTCAATAGAAAAAAGATAAATAACCTAATTTAAAGATGGGCAAAGAATCCAAATAGCCCAAAGAAGATAAACCAATAATCACGTGAAAAGGTGCTCAACATCATTGGATATTAGGGAAATTCAAATCAAAACCACAATGAGATACCACTTCACATCCACTAGAATGACTATAATAAAAAGACAACAACCAACATTGGCAAAGATGTGGAGAAATTGAAATCCTTATACACTGCTGGTGGGAATATAAAATGGTATAACTGTTTTGGAAAACAATTTGGCAGTTTCTCAAAGAGTTAAACATTGAGTTGCCATATGACCTAACAATTCCACTCCTAGAGAAATGAAAATATATGTCCACACAAAAACTTGTACACCAGTGTTCATAACAGCATTATTCACAATGCCAAAAAGTGGAAACAGTCCAAATGTCCATCACCTGAGGAATGGATCAACAGAATGTGGTCTGTCCATACACCAAATTATTATTTGGCAATAAGAAGGAAGGAAGTACATGCTACAACATGAATGAACCTTGAAAACATCATGCTAAGTAAAAGAAGCCAGTCACAAAGACCACATATGGTTGGTTCCATTTATATGAAATGTCCAGAATAGGCAAATCTATAGAAACAGACAGTAGATTAGTAGTTGCTTAGGGGAAGGGGAGTGACTGCTAATTGGCACAGGCTTTTTGGGGGTGATAAAAATATTCTAAAAATAATTCTGATGGTTGTTGCACAACTCAGAGAATATACAAAAAACCATAAAGTTGTATACTTTAAATGGGTGAATTAAATGGAATGTGAATTATATCTCAGTAAGGCCACAATAAAAGAAGTTATTTCTCCAATTATAGAATTTGGGGTAATTTTATTTCCTTATTATGTTTTCTAAGTTTTCTATAGTGAGAATGTTTTGTTTTAATAATCTGAAAAATAGATGGAAA